TCTCAGCCTTCCCTTCTCCAGGCTAACCAAGCCCGGCTCCCTCAGCCTTTCCTCCTAGGGGAGATGCTCCAGTCCCCTCATCAACCTTGTTGCCCTCCTCTGGACTCTCTCCAGGAGTTCCTCATCTTTCTTGAACTGGGGAGTGGTGAACTGGACGCAGTGCTCCAGATGCAATCTCACTGGGGCAGAGTAGAGGGGGAGGACAACTTCCCTTGCCCTGCTGGCCACGCTCCTCTTCTTGCGCCCCAGGATGCCATTGGGTTTCTTGGTTACAAGGGCACACTGCTGGCTCTTGGCCAACTTGTCGTCCACCAGGACTCCCAGGTCCCTCTCGGCAGAGCTGCTTTCCAGCACCTTACTTCTCGCAGCGCCTGGGTTTGAGGGCCAGCTCTCTGAGCGGACCTCACCCTCCTTGCACAGGCTCTGTCCTGCCTCCTTGCTCTGATTCACCCTGTGCTCACCTTCACCTAACCCTGCTGCTCCCCCCCTGCACACCCGGCTCTGGCAGAGCTCCCCGCCTCGCACCCGCCACCCCTGTGCCCGGGGGAGCGTTACAGAGCACGCGACGCGACGGTCTGCTGCGTTAGCTGTGCTCACTTCTTTTCTTTCAAAGGCTGAGAAATTGCCCCTAATTTGGGAACAGTAACAGGCGTACTCCTGACACCACAGCAACTCTGCTGCAAAATTCAGACCCTTTTTATCCGAAAGAGAGAAGGTGGGTACCACGGCTGCAGGATCGCGGCTCTGCTTTGTCGCAAATACAGTGTCCCACTCAGATATGGCTCCACAATTTTTGCTGGACCCTTTTTTTTTTTTTTTAATTCACCCTGAGGTAAAAACTCATCACAGAATGGAAAATTTCAGCTCAAATTTAAAATGTGGTGAAATTACACGCTAATGGGAACAGGATCTGAACTAGGGGGTGCTGGAGAAGTCTAACCAAGCACAGCACCAGCAGCTCCACCTCTAAAGCATATTTTGACCCGCTACGTAATTAGACACAATTCCACAAACAGGAATTATGTAAACCACTCCACATATATTATTTTCAAAAGCCCCAGCCATTCACTGGATACATCTTTCCACCCACACGGATCCAATTACAGAATCGGCACCCAAACTCTCTGGGACAACCAGAAAAGAAAGAAACAGTTAAGCCAAGATCACTGCGAGCACACTCCGACTTAGCTTCATTCAGACGGGCATCACAAACCCGCTTAATTCTTAACAGATGTCTTTATAAAATTTCTTTATCCCCTCCAGTCTGCACCCTTTATCCTGCCCATATTTTTCTACAGAGCAAAATCTGTTCCCTGGTGCAAACAGCTCACCTCTTCAAAAAAGCCTGCTTAAGAGGAAAAAGTAACACTGTCATCAAAGATGTCATAACTATATATTAAAAAAAAAAATCAGAGGAACAGGTCAAGCTGCATAATGCAATGAGACTGAACTGCTTCTCTTCCTGGCAGACCCATAAACCTGCCCATAAAGGCTATGAACTGACGTTTTCAAAAATACCACCCCCTTGCATGGCTTGGCTTATTCTTCCATGCCAGATGCAAGGTTTAACAGAGTAATACAAACACCGCGCCTTCTTAATATACTCTTTTAATACTGTGGCAGTTTGTAAGCTATTTCCCACAACATGTGACTAGTTATGTTTTTAGTAAGTCCATATGAAGAAGAATCCTTCAGTGGCAGTTTCGTACGGTACAATGAAGAACTGAAGCATTAAGTATTTACCATTTGGCACTACGGACGGTGATTACGACACAAAGCCCGAGAATATTTCACCTCCAGACCTGCCATCATCCTGCTGGGTGGAATAAAGTCTGTTCCTAGCAAACTCCCCAAGGGTTTGTGTTGTGAACAGTAAAAGGGATGGTACGGTATAGGCAACTTCATAAAAAGCACGGAAATCCACCTACGTCCTACAAAACATTTAGCTTTTCATCAGGTAAACAGAGCTTTGTATCCTGTCCACTTGTTTAAAGAGAAAAGCTGCACAAGTGCTTCCACAGAACAGGAACTTGTTAAAAGCAACTTCTCTGGACCACGCTGCACTCAGCTTGATGGAGCGGCAGAGATTCTCCTCACCAAACACCATTCTGTTAGCAAGACTCCTCTCAGTCTGCTGAAGCAGTCCACTAATTTCTCATCATCTTTCACCGATTATGCCATAGACCTTTCAAGCCAAAACCAAGAGAAATGCCCATCTTTTTTTCCAAAGTGTGTTTTCACAGCAGCTGGAATGGCCCCTCGTCAGTGCTTTACTATGCTATAATCCAAGATTAGGAGCCTGTAATAAAAAATAGCCATCAGAGATGCCAGTATAGTATACTGCTGGCCTGCAAGTCTAGTATTTTGGAAAATCCTAAGCTTTTTGCATTTTTCAAGGTAATTTTTACAATGTTGCTTACACTCAGCCCTAATCTATTGCTTATAAATACAACACGACAGTGTCTTACAACGGTGAATCCCATCGTTTCAATCAAATCACAAAACAAGTGGCAAATGACAAAGTATACTTTAAAAAGTTATGTCTCCTGCACATTTACAGATTAGAAAAGAATATCTCTTGACCAAGAAAGAAGAAGAAAGCTCATATATCAGAGGAAAATAATCTAAACTTCAATCACATCTAAAGCTCCGTTAGCAGGTTTGTCGTATGATCCTTTTGAATTTCTTGTACACTCAGCAACTAGATCTGATAGTAAACATCAAACCAGGAAGGCAGCTTTTGAAAATCCAGGCTCAGCTGATACAACTCTTTTAAGTCAAGTTCAAAGTAAATTTTGAAGATGAGATAGTGTACTACACCTGAGTGTTTATGACATTCAATAGGAGAAGTAGGCAGCTCTGTGCTGCAGTGTACCCTGGATACTTCTTCCTAACGCTCATCTTCTCTGCCTTGCCTCCCCTCTCCAAAATTAACAGAGCAAAATGAATACAGCTAAGTAACTAAGTAACAAGTTTAAAGCAACAGCAAGGGAGACTTACTTTTGTGCTAAAGTAAGCAATATATAACACGCAAAAATCGAGGCAAAACCCACCCTGTCCTGCTGATCGACATTTTACACCCGCTAGAAACGCCAAAAAGCCCCACGCTTTTTGCTCCAGCGGACGCAGTACCACTCCCCTGTGAGCTCCACACTTTCATCCACAAACAAAACCTATTTCACCTCGTTGGCATTCAAGTAATACTGCAAATTGTTACCCTGCAGGCCACTATCCATCTCCTTACGAGCAAATAAACACTGGAACTCTTTAAGAAATATGGCTTAAGATATTCTTCTTAAAAAAACGCTCTGTTCTGCTTTTGCTGCTGATGGTAAATCTTGCATGAATATCGGTTTGTGTAAGACAATTATTGGAGTGTACACCAAAAAAGTCAGAGCTTGTTTGCCATCACTTGATTTCTATCATAAGCAACTTACACTATGTGATCTGCAATAGAAAATGTTATCTACAGATCTTTTCTGCTGGAAAACAGGATAAACAGAAGATAATAGTCACCTGTGCTGCAACACTGTAACATACGATTAATAAAGAACGATTTTCTGCAAATCTGGCTGTCACCGCACACCAATGAAAGAAAAGGCATTCTAACAATTTTCCCCAAACCCTAAGAAATACTCCAACAACTCCAACTTTTAAATTTTCCATAGGATAATAGTCAGTATTATGGGAGATCACCCACTTTCACACCCACTGAGTGAAGAATCAAATCTGAGAGCCGAATTCCCACCTTTCTCCGAGAAGCAAGCCAAAGCCTGAACCGGCGCAGGATGGGAGCGGCTGCACATTAGTGGAGGATGCTGAGCTTTATCCATAGGCCTTGCACGGCGCTCTCCCAGCCCTGCAGCCAGCCCAAGGACAGCTGTGGTAGGGGCTCATGTGCGAGGCCTTGGACACTGGAACTGGCACTGCTTGGAGCGGGAAGGCAGGGAAGAGTTGCAGCACCAGCCTCCGTGTCCCGGCGCTTCCTCCAGCCAGGGGCGACCTCCAGAAAGCAGCACGTTTAAGAGAGCGCAACCCTTCTCTAAAGACAGTATGAATTTCAGCTGTGTTTCAAATTGGGACTGACTAGATCATTTTGGTAGAAATTAGGAAAAGAGGAGAAGACCTGGTAATTAAACAAAAATCCTGTTCACACGACTACAGATGACTCTCAAATGAGTAACCAGTACAGCCCTTGCCAATGTTTCAACGTGGGCATGACTGTATTTTGAACCAACACAGAGGACAGGGGATCTACTCCTGGACCTGGATCTCTTTGTCTAAGTGCTGTAAAAAACAAGGAAAAATTAGATATTCTACCATCTGTCAGCTTTTATAGAAAAACTGGAGCATACTCTTACCTTCACAAATTCTGTCCAGTCGCTGCCGCTTGACTTTGTGTTTATCCACAAGTGCCATTCTCGATGGTATTTTGTAACTTTCTGATTCAAAACGCAAAGCAGTCCCCCAGGAGCTTAGGAAAATTCACAGGAATCGGCGTGCATACCGCCACTGTCGGTCCTGCAGAGAAACGAAAGGAGCCATTAGGATTTCCAGCCCACCAGGTGAGACCTGCCCGTCCCCAACAGCAGAGCAGGTTTCTAGAAGAACAGCTGTGAGTTTAGTGCTTCCAACCCCAGCGTCCCACCGGTCACACATCTTAAACCGCAAATCAAGCTTGCGGCCCCTTTATCTCCTCTGCGATCGGAACAAACAGGATTGTACACAAGAGCTGCTGAAGCGCTGTATGGCCTTCCCAGTTTTATTTGTGTCTTAAAAATCTACTCCTAGCAGATAAAACCCATTAAGCTATTTTGTAGGCTCAGACACTGAAAGATTATTAGAGAGTATATAAAAAAGAGAAAGTAGCTTTTGCTCTTCCAGTACTTTCACACACATACAAGCCACTTTCATATCTTATTTAAGCCTTGCCCTGTAAAAGTCATCAGTGGACCTTGAATTTGCAACTAGACCTTGATCCATATTTCAGCTGCCACCATAGTCTGTCCTCACTTTCATACTTGAAGGGCTAACATTAAACTTTGGGTGCCAGAGCTGTCGTTTCTCGCATGCACACTTTTAAATGCCGGTGAAATAAAGCAATCCATAAAGCGATATGTGTGGCTGATTTCTAAGACATTCTCTACAAAGAGAGAACAGCTGCAGGCTTTTCTGCATTTTGGTGACACAGAGGAAGACCCTAAAGGGATCCTCTCAGGTCTGATGCTTTTGTGCCTACCGAGAGCCAAAGGTTTGTTTAATCCCTGAGCTCTCCGACCTGAGCTGAGGCTGCAGACCCTGAACGTGCCATTGTGGCACTTGTACCCAACAGCTTCATTGTAAAATCCAGGCTTGAGCTTTTCAAAGCAAGTTCCACAACAGTATTCATGGATCAAGACATACAGAAAGAGACCTCATGCTGACAACTGAATTCAAACAATTCAACGCTACAAGCACTAATTTTTTACCGAGTTACGCTGTACTACCAGTGATCCAATATCCTCTTTTACATTTTAAGATGAAGACAGATGACCCTGATACAAGCTACAAAACCTCCAGGGACACATCCTCTTCAAGAGGCTCCTGTCCCCCGTTCCCCGTCCCCCCCCGCCCTCCCCCAGCCATCCACCACCCCTTAGAGCCCACTTAAAGGTGCCAAAAGAGCAGAATTAGTGGAAAGCTGTGATTTCCAGAAACAAAGCAAAATGCCACCACGTTTTTTGGAGGCCTTGCAAGGGAGGTGGGCATGAGTGCAAGGACAGCAAGAAATCGTCTCCTGAGTGGCCGTCTGTATCGCGTTGCAAAGCCTCGACCACCCTGCATACAAAGTACTAGAAAGGGTTAATAAATAAATAAATCCTGAAGAGCCAGTAATAATCATAAACTCGGTACCACTGGGTCAAATTCACACCCAAACAACAAAAGCAGCTCCTCTGTGGCAGGTGAATTTTCACGCTGCATTATTTGCAAACAAAATTTTCCACGACAAACGAAAAAAACGCCGGGTTCACGTAATACAGGGCACACGAGAAGGCACCATGAAGCAGGAAAATCCAGGCTGATGTCCAAAAGTTGACCTTGGGCTATGTCTGTAACCTCCGCTTAAGCGTCCCCTTCTGTAGAGCAGCGATGTCAACACTTAACCCATCCTCTCGGAACACTTCAGGTTCTTCATATCCACACAGTCCGGTCAGGCGTTTCTACCTTGCATTTTATTCCTCTGCAACAGCTTACGGCTCTCCTAAAACCCCGCCAGTGAAGCAATAAATTCCCAGAAAACACAGTTAACAAACGCAATAGGCGAGGCTGAGCATGCGAGGGGTAAAGCCTCTAACAAAGCCGCTGCATACTGAGATGACAATTTCATGGAGATTATTGTTATTATTATAAATGGTTATCAATTATGCATCACATTGATAGTTAATTTATAAAAGGAAAAGGGTTGTGTTGGTACAACTGAATTCTGACTAAGGGAAGATAGGCGATTTCCTGGTAGTTAATGGCCAATTTCCCAGCAGCGCAACTGCAGCATAATCTCTGAGATTTATAGCAATAATTAATTGATTTTTTTTTAAACATAGGGATGCTAAAGAGCACGATTCCCACTCACATTAATAATTAATGCAACACTCTAAAAGAAGCAGAAAACTTCCCTTCCAGAGGCAGAAGCTTGCTACAGTCAAAATATTTCTTACGACAAAAATTAAACTGTTAGTGTAGCTAAAGCCTGAGTAGCTAACAGCATTTCCATGATCAACATGTAAAAGTACACACTTGAATTTTTACCTCTTTTACATCCCACTCCACTTTCAGGGAGAAATAACAGGTTATAAAAAAAGTCACGTCAGGAGAGAAAAAGTTAGTATTTTGTTCCGAAAATGCTCAAATGGTTCCTAATATGGAGGCTGCAACTCTTTTCCTCTTTTTTTTCCCAAACAAAATCAATATGCAAAGTGTATTTAATTTTGACAGAGTGCATTTTCTGATGGACAAATGCTTCCATTAAAGTTCTTTTCTCCTGCCATCTCAATTCCCTGCATTACTCCCTGGAGGAAAACTTTCTACAAAAGAAACTAATGAGAAATTACTGCTCATATTATCAGAATCCCGCACAGCTTAATGTAATGCCCATGAATGAACTCCTTCCTAATGATGTTAACTACTCCATCTTTGTTTGACAGGTGTCCATGATGATATCAACCAGCAATAAAAGCCCAACTCAGAAGACTTATTAAAAATGTGGCAGGAGCTGCCGAGCAGGATTTGGCAGGGATGGATAAAATGGAGAAAAGCAGATGCGCGGGGCACAGAAACAAGCGGATGCTCCCCAGCCTTCCTATGAAGCTGTAATTAAGAAAGCAGATCTTCCATTTGTGGGATGGAGGACGTAATTAGTTGTGCACCCAACTTCAATCTATCCTCAACGATTTCTACATCCAACCCAATCTCAAAACGATGGCGAGGCTGAACGTCCGTGTCCGTCCGTGTGTGTCCCCCCCCCTCCCCCAGTAAAATAAATGCAATCAGGCTAGGCAGAACAAAAATCACGGTCATCAGTTAAAATACAAGAAAACCTCATTGTTTAAGGAAATTTGAGAGAGAGAGACACGCACGCGCAAAAATCGTACTTCATCTTCAGCAAGATTAGGAAACAAGTCAAGTGATTTACATACAGTAATTGCATGGCTGTGTTAGCCTCCAACAGTGTCTTTCAAAATGTAAATTTTCTTGAAAACCCTTGGACACGATGATAGCCCAGCAGTTATTTATTTATTTAAAGAAGGAACGTACTTAAATACAGTGGTTTAGGAAAAAACCAACCCTGACGCAACACATTTAAACAGCTTCTTAATACTGCCCGTTAAATACCACAATCCATGAGCCAGAAAATGAGAGCAGAGAAAGCTGTGTTAGGGCTCATTTTTCCTGCTTTAGATGGAAAACAAAAAGAAAGAAAAGGTGATTTTCCAAAATAAAATGCAGTATTAGACAAAAAGAAGAAGAAAGGTGCCTTTACGAAGAACGTGTTGTCTTCCAAGCCCCCTCTCAACTAGCCCTCTTGTATCATCTTTGCGCAGCACACGTAGGTAGCACAGGAGCACAAACGTGGGCAACATCTATTTTAGAGCATCCATCGCAGGCATCACCATCCAACCACGGCAGCATGCAGCCGGTGACTAAGAGCCCCCCTTCCCAGTGCTCCGCACAAAACCGTGTCTCACCACATTCCCTCTCTGTGCACAGCCCCAGGAAAGCAGAATGGTGTTTCCTACACCCTGTTTTGTGACGAGCTGAAGCCAATGCAAGCACGGCAGCCCCGCAGGCTTTGGTAAGCATCATGAAACCATACCTGTGAGTCCTGCCCAAAACGCAGCTCATCGGCGAGGATGCAATAAGACTGCGACTACTGCTGCCTTTCGAGGTGTGAATGAACAAGTGGTACAAACGCACCACTTCTGCCAGTGAATACGCGGCTGTAGGTTAAGTGGGATTCCTCTCTAACTTCAAATACAAGCATCTTTCTAAATGATCAAAAAAAAGCACGTGCACACTCCCAGGCCCTTAGTGGAGTCAGAAACCTGTTGCTCACAATTTCCGACTACATTTTCTACCCTCTACAAAACATGGCAACAACAAAATGGAGAATCCTTACTACAGAAAACTCCTAGCGCCACAAACTGCAAAAGCTCCCATTTCCAAACAGCAAAGGAAAACTTCCATCCTTGCTCACATCTAAACTGGGTTTCCATGATCGTGGTCAGCAAGGGAAAATCCAGGCCAAATGTTTTGTGTTGGACATTTCCTAGGCTGTTGGGAAAGGGGAGGTTCCCAGAGAAGGTTTTGTACTTGTGATTACTGCAGGACATCAGTCCTCCCAGCTGGAAGCAGACCAGGATGCCCAAGTGGTCCATAATGGTTTGAAGCTGCGCTAGGGCAGGTTTAGGCTAGACATTAGGAAAAACTTTTCACTGAAAGGGTTGTCAGGCTCTGGAATGGGCTGCCCAGGGAGGCAGTAGAGTCCTCATCCCTGGAGGTATTTAAAAGAAGGACAGATGAGGTGCTTAGGGCCAGGGTTTAGTGGTGGGATGGCAGGGTTAGGTTAAAGGTTGGACTTGATGATCTCAAAGGTCTTTTCCAATCAAAGTGATTCTATGATTCTAAGTTAGTATCTGCCGATGCCAAGGGCAACTCTCCCGCCAGCCTCCTTTGCATTAAGTTTTCCAAAGCTTGATCGCACTTAAATTGAGGATTTCAGTGCAAGAACAGCCCTCAGAGCCGTGAACTGGTTAAGCCTTGCATTAGCATCACCTGGTATTAACTATTCTGAACTAGCTGGCCATTTCCACGGCTGATCATTTCAGACATCGGCAGCTGTTGTGGGGAGGGCAGGAGGGGCTGAGAAGTGGAGTTTGGCACAAGAAAGGAAACGCGGGGAAAAGAAAGAAGGAGACACACAGAGATAATGACAGGGGAGGGAGGCTGACAAAGGAGATGGTACAATGCAGGAGGAACACTTTGCG